GATTAACGTATATATATATATATATATTATATATATACACACAATCGGCCTCCATCGGGCGCTTTCTTACGCACGTGTGCACACGCGTATGCGGCCTATCGCCGGCCGAAGAATCGAGATAACGTAATCGACGATGACATTGAATGCCGTAGTAACTGACCGCGTGCATTCCTGCGCGCTGCGTTCCCCCTTCGTCTTCTTTCCCGTGTCGCGGTGGCAGAACGTCATTTCAGATCGATTCTTGCACCGATGCCAACGGTAGGTTGTCACCTCTGGATATAAACGACGGGTGACGTCAGTATGACATCAGTGATCCATATCGTCGTAACACCGTAAGGCGCCTCGCTCGCGTATTACAGACACTTTACGACGCGTCAGCGTATAGACACCTTTGATAATTCGATGCGTCGGCGACGCGGCAGGTAGACTAAAGAGGAGACGCCGGGGAGGGGGGGGGGAGAAAAGAGGACGGGGCTAGATGCCGAGGAAGAAAACAAAAGGAGCACGCGAAGGCGGAATTGGCGAGAGGAGGTAAAGGATGGATGTTAACGCGCAACTCTGGCAACTTAAAACCCTTCAGCGGTATTTTATGGGTGGGGTCGCCCTCTCCGACGAGGAGACTATCCAATGCGCCTAGTAGTCCGACCAGACAAAATGCAAATCTGCGCGCGCCCCGCTAATCTGTCTGGTGCATCCGTGAGGTCGGGACCGCATTGGCGGAGACTGCGGGACCGTGAGCACGAACGGCGCGGGTTAGCCTCGAGTTTTCCCGCGTACCTCGTAAATCAAAGTCGTCCGCGAAGTCCGGGACTGCGGCCGGCTGCAGGAAGGAAGTCGGGGTCTTGTGTCTTGTGCGTCTGGCGGGCGATCGTCGAACTGACGCACCCTGCCTGATTCATATTCAGCGAAAGCTGAATATGCGGGAAGCTGCGGCGACCGCACACGGTCGGGGACTCGGCAGAAAAACCGGTCTAAGTGGAGATTAAAGGTTGAGATAACGCGCCAATGTGTCACAAGTGATCTAATCATTCATTTAAGTTTTACTACTCGTTAATAATTGCAAACGAGAACGATATAAACGGCAATCTCGATGCTAATTACGTTTGTGTGTTCATATAATGACGTTTACATATCATTTAGATATCATGATTGGCTTTTACCGGCCATAATTGGCTGTTTGTGTCGATGCGTTAACTCAATTACAATATCGTCTCGGTACTTGGATCTCGGTACTCGGTCCCTATTTCCCCTCGACTTTTTTAATCACCGCTCGATTCGAGAACTCGAGCGAGAAGGAAACCCGACGCCTCTGCAGATTGCTCCCGACGATCCCTTATGCGCATACCGTATCAAATGTTGCGAGCTACGCATAATCTATCTTTTCTATGGTGCTCACCGTGCGTTCACCCGTCGTGCGATACTCTCTCGCTGTAGGTGCCGATTAGAGTAGCGTTTCCTCGGGATATAAACATGACTTACGCGTACGTGATTGTTAGCGCGTACATACGTACGTATGCTACTCAAGGAGGTGTAGAAAGAGACGAGACTCACCGAGACTACGCGTCCCACATACCTCTATGAATGACGTTGCAATAATGAAAGGCGCGCGTTTTTTCACAATAAAGCGTATCTGAGTTGCAGTCGCGTGTCACTTTGCACGATACGGCACCTCTGGACATCTAAGATGTGTCATTATATCGACTAACGATATTACTTACAGAATAAGTTTTTGTTATTTAGATATAAAGAGCAATTTATAGTTTAATCTAATTTTCTACGTAATTTATAAATGGAAATTATACAGACAATATTAACGTAAAGCGTGTAGCTTCGGGCACTTTCATATGATATTTACTTTACTGTTTCGCAATCGATAAGAATTACCTTGTTGACTAGTACTACCTTCAGGCACTCTTCACTTCGGTCTCTTCATAAAATAATACACCTCTATATAGTGTACATGCAACGACACGCGAATCGCGATCTTCTATTATCTACCCTTTTCTCGCTACGTACTTATCTCTATGCGTGCGTGCACTTTTGAACGCACGTCGGGCGCTCTCGCTCTCCGATACGAGATCCGCGAAGCGAGCCCGAATGGGCTCGTATCGGGCACCTCGCTCCCACACTCGCCCGCACGGCGATGATATTGCGCTCTTTCTCCCCGGTACCACTTGCGTCTCTCTTTCCGCCCGTGCGGTATGCTCCTTCGCCTCAGCACTCTCGCTCCTTTTCCCCTTTCCGTCTTTCACTCGTCGGTCCAAAGAGGCGAAGGTGGAGGCTAATCACCACGCAATCACCGCTCCCGGTGCGGCCGGGACTCCGACCCGTTCCCAGAAAGCAGCAACCGCCTTTTGCCGCCCTGGGGCATTCACCACCGCGGTACCGGTGCTGCAAAACCAACAATCTTCGTCCTGTGCCGCGGAAAAAAGAGCACTGCCCTTCCCCGCGCCCCGTTTCCCCGCCCCCTTTTCACCAAATCACCGGAGGGCCGACCGATCGTCCGACTACTGGCATCCGGGGAATCCATCGCGAGAATAGCCGCGATTCCACCTTGGCAGTGCCTATCGAGAGACGAGGAAGGCATGCATTAAACCCGCGGAGGCAACTACCGCGTCGACACGACACTGCCCGGAATGCGTATATGATCGAAAAGAAGTATATTTTGGGATAATTCCCCCGTATGAATGATGGACGTTTCGTTCTGAAATGCGTTTTGAATCGACATTATCGCGTGTAATGAGAGTGCACCGTAAGGATGAAATGAGGCACCTGCTCGAATAATTGCACGTGGCGAAACCCTATAGGAATAACGTGGTTATTGCGTGCGTTTTAGTAACCCATAGGTGGTAGGCCGCGATTACAGGGATATTATGCCACGAAAAAATACGGTGTACTCTCAATAGAGCTTTATTTCATTTTTTTTACGTATTAATCAATTATAATCTGTTATTGATTTCTTGTGCTGAGAGCTTATTAAAGTTTTTCAAAACAGTTGCTTCATAATCTATAAAACGAAAAATGTGTCAGATACCTATAAAAGAGATTCATATAAACGCGTAAAAATTGTTAAATCATATTTTACTTTTAATTACCTATTTCGTATCAATTTTCCAGCACGTATTTATTCTGTCAACGTATTGCGCTACAGTAAAATTAAATCGTAGCCTGTCAAAAACGAGCAACTTCGCGTAAAGATACTTTGTCGCTGTCCACCCTTAAATACGAGATAATACACGCAGGAAATTGGTAACTGGTAGGTAAGGACGTAAATTGATATAGTTGGGGGCGATGGTCGTTAGAGTGTATATAATATTGGGTGCACCTTTACCGTACACCCACGCGTCGTGCATAGTCGATGGTACAGGATGCCTGAAACTGCTGACTTGGGGCAACTCCAGGAGAAGAAGGAGGAGGCGTGAGTTTACGATAAGATACACACAGCCACGCAACTGGCTTCCTCCGGTGTTTCGCGCTAACGGGCTAATCAATTTGGGACTTATTGCTACGTCGCCCGCAGATTCGTTAGATATCGCCTCGCGTACAGAAATTACGATAACCGAGTTCTTGAATTTACGTACTCTCATTTTCGTTACTACTGTAAGATGTTTGCAATAAAGTAAATTAATACTTTGTGTCGAAAAGGAGTGTTGAGATAATTATTAATCAAATCTAGTGCAAATCTGATCTCTTATCCTTACCATCTTGTTGTATTTGAATGACAGAAAACGTTTAAAAAAAACACCAAACTGTGTGACATCTCAAGCTATCATTAAATCGGATATTAATGCTGAGGGCACGCGTAGTAACACGCGGGATCACGTAGTGCGTGTGCACTTTCGCCGCGCGATGACTGTGCGACGCACGTAAGTCCACGCGTGACCGACGTGCGAATTGTACGAACTATCGTATCGAATTGCCATTACGGCTCGCACCTGAGAGCGCCTGCACCGTCGCTTCGAATGAATTTACACGTGGTTTTCTGTACGGCACGCACGAACTATCAACGCGCGTTAATTGCCCACATAGTGGTCCATGAAGTCTTTGTCGGTCTTTACGGGCACTATCAGTACATTCATGCTAGACTTCACGGGCGCTGAATGGTATTGATCAACAATTGATTCGATACGATGTGCTTGCTACGTGATGCTAAGTATTATGTGATACCAACGCCATTCAAATCTTAACAGTATACGTAGGAGGCTAAAATTCTGTATTCGTTCTCTTGAGTTGGTAATTAAAATTAATTAAAAATTAATTTTTTTTCTATTTTTTACTTTTAATAGATTTTCGTCTTGAAATTTATAAGAAGTTTATTATTAATACATTTATTTATTCGCTACCCAACGTTGCAAATCACGTGCGGAAAAAAATTGGAAAAGTCTGTCCCCGAATAAGTTTGCAGAGTGGAATCACAAGGAAAGTCGTAAGCTATGACATTTAATTGTGCAATAAATCTTGATTCTCCGATTTGCAACCCATTTCCTACTGCGGGGGCGACGATTGGTCGCTGTTAAATTGGTGCGTAGGTGCAATGGAGGTACCTACGTATCCGTGTAGGTACGCCAAGTGTGAAAGTCGGAAGGACTTCATCTCTCCCTTTCCCTTTTGTCACTCTTACGGGCAAAATAGCGCGCAATCTTTCTCTAGTCGTTAACTTTATCGACTCTAACTGCAGATAATCCATAATCGATTCAATTTGACAAATATAAGTTTCATCTTAAATATACATATATATTTATTTATACTTGTTGCAACTACTTCGCAAATATCTGCTAACATATCTATGAACTCAACAATAAAAAATCCAATTTTACGAATGCCATCTTCTGAAAATTGAACGTCTTTACGTTTATGCTAAAAGCAATGCAAAGATATGCAATATTTTTGCAAAAACTAATTGGAAAACGCAAAATAGTTGCACAAGCTTAATTTTCATTCCATTACGCTTAAGTGCCTTCCAATATGTTTCTGACGACAGTTTCTATTTTCGATTACAGACTCAGTGGCACAAACGATTACTCTTACGAGTTTTGCCTTCTTCCTGACCTCGTGGCTGAACTCGGCGTCGGGAACGTCCGCAAACGACCTGCAATTTGTGCCAAACGCCAGTGACATAAAACCCTGGTTTCAACACCCTTGCGGCACCCGGCTGGCGGCCTCGCGAAAGATGCATAATTCCAGCGACTCGACCAACATCATGAAGAGGGTGCGAACGCAATTGCGAGTCGCGCAAAATCACTTCAACAAGACTTTCAAGGACGTGCGCATAGTTTACTCGAAGGTGAGAGACGAGAGCGCTCCACTCGCGACCGCGATTCCATAATTAATTGCAGCGCGGCGTCGGGGTAAAACCGCGTGGGCAGTGCTCGCTCGAGGGGGACTCGCACGTGCGCGCGATGCAACGCATCGCGCTAGTGCACAGTCCTATTTTCCGCCGGTAATTTGCATTGGTTACGATGTGCCACGCACATCCAGCATAATTACTTTTTCTCGAGTCCCGCGGCGCGTTCTAGACATCTCACCGATTTGATGACAAATCACTTCCGTCGCGTTGCGGAACGAGAACACGTTGCTTGCTCGATACAAAAAAAAAGACGTTATCGCAAAATGTTATTAAACGTTGTCCTCACGAGACCAAGATAAGCGAATGCATTTACATAAGACGCTTTTACTTGTTTATAACGCCGTTGTAACGAGATGATAGATGTTATTGTTTGGTCTACTAGAGAGCCTGAGATCGAGTTTATCCCGCACGGATCGCAATGGCTTAGATAGAGCGATATATTTTGTTTATCAACCTTTATCACTTTGAAGCTTACTCTGGACACGCATGGCCGCATTCCAAGACAGATTTGTGATACTATGGTTTTTGATACTGTACAGCGCTTAGTACTCAACTGATATAAACAGACATGCTTATGCTCGCAAATGTGTGTGTGTAACGTCAGATAATTCATTAAATAATTCATAAATGTACGGTCATTTGTAATTTACGTCTGGATTTATGCATCATAACGGTATTAGTATAGTTAAGTGAGATTTGCGTAGCCATAAATTTTATATTCAATGATACGCATAACCAAGTACTAATAGATTGTATGCGTGTGACCCAATCTCACAATCAGATAGTCAATAAAATATAATTCTATGTAGGCTCTCAAACAAATGTGAAAAAATTTAATTACATAAAAATATATAATTATATATCGGTTCGAAAAATTAAATACTGTTTTATCTTTTTGCTATAGGTGTACAGAGTGTTGCTGAAGGAGCAGTATAAGATGAATTGGTTGCCAAAAAGGCAGCTCGAGTGGTACCATAGGGAACTTTGGTGCTTGGAAAAGGGGAAGAAAGCCGAGCGTGCCCTTCCACGCCTATATGACGCGCTACAGAGGTTCTCGATTACGTTCCATTATCTTAGAGAATTTCATCTCGACTCTAATATCGATGTCACTCGCGGCATTATTAAGAGGCGGACTAGGATCATCGACAAAGCGCACAACCAAGTTCTCAGGGTAAGCTGGTGCATTGCTTACTTCTAACAATATCTGTGTCAATATAGATATAAATTGAAAATTGCATTTATATCACGCATTAGAATTGCTCGTAAATCAAATTAATCGTTCAACAAGTGCGAGATATAAAACTATAGATATACTTTATTACTTCGACTCGCGATCTTGAGTCAAGTTGCCATAAAACGTATTTGCTGTGTACGGCAATAAGCTTTACTTACGGTAATATAAATCTTTTGCAAGTGAAAGTGCAAACGTGTAAAAGTAACACTTCTCGTTTGTGTGATTGCAGTTGCTGTGCGAGGTCGAAGCTGCTATGATAAATCTGGCATTAAGAACTTCAACTCTGAACGATGCGTTCATGATAACGGATAATTTGCACTGGGCCAAAGAGGGCGATCTAACATTAATGTTGATTCAGGATTGGGGCGTATTAAAGCTCTATCATACTTTTCTGAAAGATTGGATAAAGGTTTTCCGTAACGCCACCACTGACAACACTTGCGACCGTAATATAAAGCCTTTGGCTTTTACGCCGAATATGCCTAAAAAATGGTTTAACGGAAAAGGCACAAGGATGCCGAAGATGAGAAAACATAAACCGACGAGGAAGCCCGGTCGAAATAATTCCTTGCGTCAAAACCTGCGAAAGGGATCTCAAAGGAACAGACTGATGAAGAAGCAAAAAGGACCTACGTTACGAACATAAATCATGTGTCGAACCTGAAGAAGCTAGCGCTTAGTATCGACGAGATCTGCTGATAATTTAAAGACACCGCTCTATACAGCGTCGAATCGTATACTATCTCATACTAACATAACTTTTGTATTTATTCCATTATCGCAATCATGTTCATTCGAATAGTTTTACTCGTTTTTCGCAGATTTGCCAATAGAATGGTACTATTGTCCTAAGATTATGATATCTCAACAGCCGTGAAAATTATTTAATAATTTTCCAATAGTTTTGGCTCAATACTATTGCGGATTGTGGTAATAGAAGTATTTTATCAACAACATGCGGCTGCGCATACTAGAGACCAGTATTAAAAGATCTACTTCAGAACAGTATTATATCTAATAACATACATAAAATATACCGAGTATAGCCCATAATGTTGATAATAATGTTTCGAAGTACATGGCGCATTCGAATCGATTAGACTCGTGAAATATCGATCCAATAGATTATAATCGTCGTTAAAGTATACTTTTACACATAATCTCATCATGTATGTGTAAAAGGAATGTAAAAAGCCCGTTTTCATTCTCAGGCACTCAGCAATCTGAGAACAACGAAAAAACAATATGTTATGAAAATAAGCAAAAAAAAATACAGAGAAAGAAATACAGGGAAAATAAATTCGCAGATGTACTTCGCACGTCTAAAATTGGCCGTCTTGCGCCAATTATATTTATATCGATATGCCAACATAGATTACGCTCACGATCAAGGCGGCTTGTTACATGGTCACGGATTTGAGTTCATTCGGTTAAATCGACGGACTCTGCGATACGCGCAGGTGTCGATAATTCGTGGAAAGATCGATGACGAGTTTTAGGCGGCTCGTGAAACTTATTTATTCTAGCTTTAAAGATGGCGAGAGAACTTAATGTTGTTTAGCTGTGATATCCCGAGCGTATGCGGACGTACAGAGTTCCTACGTTTATATATAGGCGCATATGCACATACACATACACTTACATAGATAGGTATCGTGCGTTGACGCGTACCATACGTAGACGTAGATGATTCTCTCCTCCTTTCCGGTGTGTCCTACTGAAGAATCTCGCCTTGTCGTGGGAACACATGACAATTTTACCTTTATAGTTAGTCCGTCGCAATCATTGCGTTTTAAGCGCGTAGACGACGCCAGAAGCGTTTTTAGCGAAAACGAGGTCCGAGGATTTTCACGGTTTCTTCCGTCTCGCGTTCGACCAGATTTGTATGCAAGTGCGCTAATCGATAATAAAGGATCATTACGAATTTTAATGAAATTCGAGCAAATCTTGATTTTGTACGCGTGCCAGCATATAACACGTAACGTGTCCTTTTTGTGCTAGATTAAAATGTATTTATATCGTGTAGATTCGATATATTTTACACTAAAGCAGTACTTAAGTATGTTCATAGCTTAGCGTTACGCATATTTTTGTACTATGTATGCACATGATGATGCGATACAAATTATTCGTAGACGCGCACTTAAATTTAAGGCTATTATGCATTTTATACAATAGAATATTTATTCGGACGTATATGCATAGCGTTCTGCTCTATTTATTATATCACGTTACCATTGCATATACTATTTATTGTCATGTCTTTACTTATATGTGATCATCTCGAATAAATTCAATGTTTTGTATCGAACTGAAGTTTAGATGACAGAGATACCTTTATAATCCACGTAATAATTTAATTTCAACAATATTGTAAATCGTTCGTTTTACATGAACATTCGACCGGAAGTATCAGGAGTACATGAAGGATTTTCATTCTGTATAACACTCGATCATTATCCGTAATGTATATATAACGCGGAAATAATGTAGATAAGAATATGCTATTTAAAATCAAATAAACATGACTCATTGCAGTAATATTTTAAGCGATTGATTAGATAAGCAGTTAAATAATGCATAGCGACATTAATTTTTTGTAACTGCCATTACGTATTTATGTATATGCTATAAATATTGCTGCATCGCAACGCTGTTTTGTTGTTGCACAGTGACATAATTTCCTTATTTATAACATTTATTTAATGGTATATTTAGCCGTATTTTATTTTAAAAACAGCAAAAGCGTAATTTTAATGATGATATCACTATTAAATTTTTTACTTATTTAACAGCTATTTACGTAAGCAATTTTTTTTACTGAAAATTTTAAAATCGTATTTTATTTATATGTATTTAATTTATAAATTTAAAATTATTCTGTACTTAATTTACTATACTTTTCTATAAGTAAAGTAATTAGGCCAACATCATAGTGCAGTTTCATTATCAACAGGATTTTCCAGACGCATCAAATGTTGTAATAGGAGTACACGTAGAGTGGATAGGTTGTAATTGCTCTTCACTGCACTTTGCGTTTATGAAGGATAAATCTATTTGTTGTAATTTAACTGTTCGGCGCTATTGCATTAATAAATTGTTCGTTATGTAAAAAGCTAAAGTACCTGTCTGTTCAATTCTATCTATTTGTCTGTAAATAAATACGCAAGCAATTAATTTAAATGTTTTATCTATAATTATAGAATAATTATAAACATAATTTTAAATAATATTCAGTCGTTTACTAATAATTATGTATCGTGTTTTCATTAAGAACAATAACGCTTATTACTGTCTTATACTTATTATCAGATATCGGATTTTTTATATGCGGAATGTTGGAAAAGAGCAATTATAATAACCAAAAATTTAGTTTATTTATAATATCCAACATATTTATATTACAATATATATTACAGTATAAATATGTTAAATTTTATAAAGAATCTAAAAGTTATTAATTGCTCTTTTCCAACACTCTGCATATAAAGAATCCGATATCTACTTATTACCTTTTCATCGATCATGCAAGCAATATTGTAGTTTCATATACATTACAATATAAATGCTATAATCACACAATATTTTATTAAAACGTTAAATTAATTAAATTAATCATCCTAATTGAATTAATCATCCATTCATTCAATCGTATTGAAATTATTCCAACAAACTTTGGTGGAATCTCGCCAATGCGAATGATGCGGTTCCTGCGTTTGAATCGGGCCGCTGTTTGTTTTCCTATGTTCATGATATATGCCGCGAAATAACACGTCACGACGCGTCGCAACTTAATCGGGCGTGAGAAGATCTCTAATCTTAGTTCGGTGAATTCATGAAGGACCTAATTATAGTATCGCCTTTTATGGCATATCCCCTAACGATACAACGAACGTGTGCGTACGCATCGACGTACGTTCGTTACGTCTACTTCATTCAGAAGTTTTTGTCACCATCTTCTTTTCCGTATTTCGACGGGAAAGAATTGACCTCCTGACGTCAAAATTCCTTATGGATCACCAGATCGATCGAAATTAGATATCGTTTGCACGTGCACGGCTCAAGTGCATAGAAATTATTTCATTTTTTTTAACACAGTTAAAAAAATACAGAATAGTCGTTTATAAAAGTAAAATTGTTTAATTAATTTCTTATACGTTTAATATATGTTGTACGAAAAGTTTACATATCAACAATTATTTTTATCGAATAGGAAAAGTGCACTCTATATATATATAGATATATATTATATATATGTATAATAATCATGAATAAAATTTCTATTGTATGTAAATATTTATTAAAAAATTACTTATTATCGTATGCATTGAATTTTTCAAAATCACATATCGTATCTCGAAATAGCAGATGCAATTGGCGCTGAATGAAGTCGGTGCCTCTTGTTATAAATATTATTCAACCTCATTCTTTTCGATTCCAAGTATAGCTGCACGAATCTTTTGAACAATAATCATTAGGCTTGTTACAAATAAATATAACTGTTTTAAGTATAAAGAAATGTCGATCGCGGATCTCTAATGATTCGTTTGACAACGTGGCTTTCCCATTTGATTCATAATGCAAACACAACGGTGTTTGCGTCTGAATAGTGCACGCGGCATCCGAGAGATTTCTGACGGAATTGCACGTACTTTCAAGGCACATGCGGACGTCGTGACGACAAGTACCGTTCGTATTTCGAGGAAAATCGGAACATCTATATATGTATATGTGGGCGATATCCGCGAAATATATAGCCAATAGGAATTAATACTGCTAAGTGAACACGTCACTTAGATAAATTTGGATAGTTACACGACAAGAAGTTTATGAAAAACATAAATTCATTAATATGTATACGTTTATATAATAGCAAACTATTTAAAAACGCAACGTATGAGCTATGATTATAACTTACTCTAATTATATCAAAATAAATATATAAAAAAAACCTAAAAAGTTGATTTTGTTATTAACTAAAAGACGTTAAAAGAACGCTATATGACCGATCATTACAATGTCAGAAGGCTCAAGTCATATCAGTGATATATCAGTGCACAGTGATATGATCTGAAAATGCTTGAAGAAAAATATATCTTCGCTTCAATAAAAGAGGCTCTGCCGGGGAAATCTACGCCGGGGTTCCACCGACGATGCAATAAAAACCCGTGGACAAAAACTTCGCTGCAACCCCACCGTTTCCGCACAAGACGTCGAACATGCCTGCGTACGTGCGATTGTTTACACAATCCCATATATAAGGAGGAAGAACGCGAGTTTGACAATCTCAGTTCACGATCTCACGTCGATCGAGAATATCGTTCAGTGCCTTATCGCTATCATTTTTCCTACAAGCCCGATTAGACGAGATCGTAACTGAATTGCGAAGAGTAACTGCTAAAAATTTGCAACGATAAATTCAAACATGTTCCTCGAGAGAGTTTGCCTGATCTCAGCTATCTTCGCCGTTACATTTGCGGCTCCGAGGATATCCGGGTCGATACCAACCTGGCATCTACCATGTGGAGAACTCAATTATCAAACTGTCCCTTTGAAGAACCTCGAGAATGAGATGAAGTCCAGTCTGGAGAATCTCAAACTGCAACATCAGCTGACAATGAATGACTACTTGAATCGAGATTACGAATACCTGTACGAGAGAGTTAGGATTGGCGTCGACGACCATCAGTACATACCTAACTGGGTACCTGGCAAGAAGGATGTGAATCTTGTAAGAAAACTGGCCGACGCTAATACTCCAATGGTGAGTACAGACACTCAATTAACATTGTTACTCGCTTATATCCTACACTTATTTCGAGCCGCGACTTAAGTTTGCCGTTATTAAGTATTTCAAACGGTTTATCCAGCCATCAAGAACTCTTAACATAAATACGTGACACCAATTGTGCTACCAATTGGCCATTATTTCGCCAGTAAAGAGATATTGCAATCGTAGAAATCTCTTTGAAAATTACTTTGAAAAGGCTGAACTCTTCTAAATTAGAAACCTTATTCCTAGACGAGATTTTTCTCTCTTTCTTTCTTAGATTCTATGTGATATTACATTAATACTTTTCATTGCAACATTGTTAGCGACATTAGTTTCTTCGGCTATTCTCCATCACCATCGCTTTAAGGTTCGCAACGTTATGCCTCGAGCTGTTAGCTTCTTTTTGATCGTTAATATTCATCGTTCGTAACTGTCGTTACCGTATAGCAGAAATGAAAGAGCAATTCGTGCAGGAATACTACCGCGTGCAGAGGGGAGACGGATAACAAGTATGCGGAAAAGAGAGAACAGTGTTGCAGGCTACCGTCGCGTTTTCAGCGGCCGGCCGGCTGGCCGACTGACCACCCGGTTGCAATTGATTAACGCAACGTTAAATAACAAATTTTAATGAGACGGTAATTATTATAAAGTAGCAGGCGAACAGGAGCGAGCGCGGTCTTTCATGCAGTGCGCGCGCAACGCGACCGTACGTGTGCACTCATGTTCGCCGGGTCGCGCGGCTGCGTAATCGCGCTCGTCTGCCTCCTCGATGCGAGCACGCTGATAACGCAAGGCTGATATCGCGACTCGCGGTACTCCCCGGATGCCGGCATTCGGGCACGCAGCCCCCTTCCCTCTCTCTGCCACGCCCCGATCGCCGGACTGCAGCAACATTGATCCTCGACGTTGCACCTTGTTGGGGTTTTTTAATTGCACGTTCTCGGAAGGTGGGACTTCACGGGGAATCTTAAGCATTTCGCGGCAATTAAGTTGCAATCGCTGATAGCACGAACGAAAAATAGGTTTTGTCGATCATAAAATTGTTCTACGATTAATTTGACTCGCAATATGTGTCATTTACGTATTCTAAATCTTTTCGCACATCTTTTTTATGTCACCTTATTTGTTATGTCACCAGATAAAATAATTTTACAATTATGCTGAACATCTGCTCCAATAAATTTTTTTTTACTGCATAAACCATTAAATTGTATGATGGAAAAATAAGTTAAATTTTTATATTTGTGCTCACACAGAAGAATATCGGTAAATTTACATATTCAATTAACTCTATATGACTTTCGTCAGATTTCTTATTTCAATTCTTTAAACGGCACTAAAAGTACTATTACACGAAACGTTCATAAATATTTATGTGAATGTGATAGAATAATTTCTAACGGTGCAATATTTACAATCGACATTAACAGTTTCGTCGACTACGTAAGGAAGTGATGCTATTTGTAATCGCTTCTCTTTACGTCAAAGTTTATTAATATCTTGAAGAGCATCAAATGAATATTATAAACGGCAAGCTTAAGTGAGCGGTTTCCGCGACATTTAAATATTTAAATATTAAAACAAAGTAATAATTTTGTAATAACTGTTTCTTGCAGATTGTTAACCACTACCCGAAAATGCACATGGATCTCCAGAAATTCGCCGTGGCATTCGAAGAACTGATCGAGGACGAGTCTAATTCTCAAGTTCGACAAGCTCTTAAGGCGACTCAATCGTACTTAACAATGATGTTATGCGAGGTCGAGAGCAACATTAACTCTTTGCCCTCCATACGACTCCCGACACGCGTGGAACGAAGCATCATGAGCCATATCGAGCGAAACCCTGTCGATGAGACGCGGAGGCTCATCAGGGACTGGGGCGTAGTTCTTAAATACCGAGACTACCTGCATGCTTGGAGGCATGTATTCAACTATTAGAGATAAGAAAAAGAAGTATTTGACTGTCGTAATCAGTAGGTCATCGATCATTCTCATCAGAAGATGACACCAGAAGGTGCATCAGATTATCGGGAAGCATATGCCACCGATGTAAATTGATTTAACACCTGCCACGACTGTAGCCATAAAATCGCGTCACTATCTGCATAACGGCGCAGTAAACGTTGAAGTTATTGACAATAATCGTTGGTCATGTAGCGATTATTGCGAAATTTGCGGAGACTACGAAATTTGCCTTATGATCCGTGAAAATTTCTCAAAATTATTTATTGAATTAATTATTTATTATCGCGGCTCACGATTGAATATGTAGCATATAGTATTTATTCTTACACGTAAATTAATTTATTTGGTATATTAATTATTTATTTATTTGGATCGATAGTACCTTCATTAATTGTACCTTTCTGACAATGAGAGGTATTCTGTAACCGATATCGATTTCTAAGATTCTCGGTTGCATTTTGTGATAATCAGTCACAATGATAATCGTGTTTGTTGTATCTTTGTGACAAGTGATCACTCATAGATTATTTATGAAAGACATTATTTGTAGAAGAGATGATTTTTATTTCGCGCAGTATTATATATTTATAACTCAAGCAAGATGTAATATATATATTTGTACATGTTTTCGTATTCTTAGTAACTTATTCATAAATTTTATATAATATAAAATCTCGCAATAAAAATAATAATTTATTAAATATATTTGTATCCACTTTCATTATCCGATACCTATCTGATCCCTATGAATCTTCTGTTACATTGATTGAAGAAAACCATGGTAGATGTCTCTAGGTAAAATTTATACTGCAATTGTCTTTTAAAAAAATATTGCATTTTATAAATTTTATATGAATATTGAAAATATTTTGAGAGAGGTATATATTATAATATAATATATCATCTGTTAAAAATTAAAATTTATTCATATTTTCAGAAAGCCGATTTTATTGCATGGTAATCACTTTGGACTTTGTAAAGTAGCGCCACGATATGTTGAAGAAGTTCAATTCCTTCGAAGATACATATTTTTATCAAATATAAATTTTATTTTCCGAAATTATATTAAAAACTATTAGTTTGCAATAACAATTTACATAGTTTAAGAAATTTATTATATGCTTGCTCTCTCTCTCTCTTCTTTTAGAAAATATCACAAAATTAAAATAAAAAACAGCAAGTTG